GTGCCTTCTTCAAAATCCTCCCAAACCAGGATTCATCTCTTTTTAAACATACAGCACATTGCTCTCTTCATCCACGTTTAAATTCTGGAATTTCCACCAGACATCAGCCAAGTGCCCAGTCAACCTCTTGGCCTGTGGGGGTAGAAGAGGAGTATTCTTCTTCATGGGGACCCCGGGCCCAGATCAATTTATTCACAGGCCACAAAGGTGGCTACCCTCGGCATGACCTCTTTGCAGGATGCTTTTGTTCCAAGGGCCTCAAAGGCCTTCACTCCACTTGGCCTCCCAAGGCGCCTTTGAACAAGTCCAGAAGCCAGTGTACAGATTCTTACTTCCCAAAAGAGGCAAAGAAAGAGGCACAAAAGGAGTGAAGCCACTGGACCAGAGAGCAGTAAAGACTCCGCAGAGGGGCCGGCGCTGTGGCACAGCAGGTTAACACCCTGGCCTGAAGCGCCGGTTCTAGTCCCGGCTGCTCCTCTTCTGATCCAGCTCTCTGCTATGGCCTAGGAAAGCAGTAGAAGACGGCCCAATTGCTTGGGCCCCTGTACCCACATGGGAGACCCAGAAGAAGCTCCTGGCTCCTGGCTTCAGATCAGCGCAGCTCTGGCCGTTGCAGCCAAGTGGGGAATGAACCAGTGGATGGAAGACCTCTCTCTCTATCTCTACCTCTCTCTCTAATTCTTTCAAATAAATAAAATAAATCTTTTAAAAAAATAAAAAGACTCAGCAGAGAGCCCCATGACTCAGAATCCCTTCTTCTTAGACCAGAGCTCACACTGCATTCAAATTCAGCTTGTGCAAATGTATGCAAAATGTCATTTAAAAAACACAGGACGCATGGCCCAAGGAAACCAGGAGACACACTGATCACAAAAAGCTATATTAGGCTAGGGGAGCTGCTGAAAGATAAACTGTTCCCTTCCTCTAGAATTTAAAGTAGTGAGAACAACAAATGCCACGAATTCTGCAGGAATTTGGTGGACCATTTTGTTAACTCAATTTCTTCTCTTTTTTTTAGTGAGAAATAGAACACTCAGCTGCAAACACATTTTAAGTGGGCACTTTTGATTTACTTCAAGGTACGGCGACTGACAGAAACCTTTCTAGAAGTTTGAATTGTCTACCTTTTTCTATTATTTTTCTGAAGGAGAATAGAAATGATCAATAAAAAGTAGGAGTGGGGGGCAGCTGGTGTGTAGAAGGTCCTGGAGCTGTCAGACTGGGAGGGCACACAGAGCAGGCAACCATGTGGTCACTGCTGTTAGCACTTGGGCCTGTTTACAGAGATAAGCTGAGAACAAAGGAAAACTGAGCCTCCATGTTAAGCTCCAAGAGTAGCAGGAACAAGAACATCAAAAAGAATGCACACTGAAGAACTCCCACTTCTAGGGAGGCAGCTGTAGGATGTATATGTTGTCAAAAAAAGTCTGATGCCATTTTCTTAAACAGAAGGGGAAGAAAGGATACTCATAAGAAAAAAAAAATGGAACAAGCTAAGGTATGAAGACGTGAAATTGCAAATGGAGATCCTAAATGATGTTCCCTTTTCTGACTATACCAACTCTTCAGGGAAGTCTTATTTAATCCCATGGCTTAAATCACTGGCAATAGCTGCTAAGGTCATGTCTCCATGAGGGCCTCTTGCTGCACTCATACAAACCTCCCTGTAGACTGTCCACCTGAATTTCCTGCAGGTATCTCAATCTCATCTACTCTACTCCCATGGTTCAAACTACTGTTCAGAGCATCCGAGCATAACGTAGCCAGTCTCTCTCACAGACCACTCTCTTTACAGCCACACGACCTAGATATCCCACCAGTAATGCAAACGTGTGTCCACAACAAGACTTGCCATCACAGCCCTCATGCCTCTGCCACTGTATCTAGGCTGTATCTTCGTGATATTCTATCTCAGTTTAGCATAATTCCCCTAGTCACTCTAGCCAAGTTTTTCTCTCTAGTCACTCAAACCAAAACGCAGAGGGTCATCTTCTGCTTCTACCACTTCCTCAAAATGCACATCCAAGTGGCCACCAAGTCCTAGAAATTCATCCACCTACATCTTAAATCTGCTCCCTCTTCCCTATCCTTCAGGTCCTCATCTCTCCTATAATTAGTCTCCCTGTCTCCAGTTTCTTCCCCTTCTCATTTACCTCCCAAACTGGAGTTCAAGTTGCTGATCTAAAATAAAATATGAGCTCTTGTAGTTGTTGCCTCATTACCTACAGAGATGTGTGAAGCTGTTAGCACGGCTCACAAGATGTCCCCAATCAGGCCCCAATACCCCTCCCAGCCCATCCATTTCCACCTGCATCTACCCAATCCGTTACCACATCATGCAACTCCAAAACACACTCAGAAGCTTATGATGTCTTCTAAGCTGTTGCACCTGTTAATAGTGTCAAGAACAATAGCACCTGTTACCATGCCAATACTAAAACTATGACAATGACCATGATGACAATGATGAACAGTTAGCTAGGACCCACAGATCAAACCCAAGCATCTAGATTGCAGGAACAACAGAGCACCTGAGGGTGCAGGGGCACAGCAGTGACGCAACTGTAATCTCTGCAACAAGCATCATTATTGATTAAAGGGGGCACAAAGGCAATGGAAGCTGTTTGGGAAGCTGCTACAGTAGCGTTTGTAAGAGGTGTTAATATAGGAAATGGGTAAAGATGGAGAACTTTTTTTTAAAGGTTTATTTATTTAAAAGGTAGAGCAACAAAACAGAGGGAGAAGAGACAGAGATCTCCCATCCGCTAATACACTCCCCAAAATAGCTATAATAGCTAAGTTAGGGGCCAGGCCAAAACGAGAAGCCAACAACTTCAGCTGGGTCTCCCACATGGGTGGCAATGCATTGCCTTCCCAGGTGCACTAACAGGAAGCTGGATCAGAAGCTCAGCAGCCAGGACTCAAGTCCACACTCTGATAATGGAACTCTGGCATCACCCACAGTGGCTTACACCACTGTACCACAACCTCAGCCCCGAGGAACGCTTCCTGAAAATCAGTAGCCACACAGATGCAGGGATGAGCAAAGCCAAAAGACGGATAAAATCTCCAACACAGGTAAGAACAATGAGGGTATTTTGGATGAAAACTTAGAATTTGGGAAAGGAGAGAGATGGAGTTTTTAAAAGGTAAAAGCCCAGTGGCCAGTTCTGTCAAAATTGTTAAAAAGGAAGAGGGAGCCAGGAAATTGAAAAATTAGCAACAGCTTAAGAATTCACGGACAGAGTTTAAGAATGAATTCATTCATTCATTTAACAAATGTGAATTGGGGTCATCTTTGTGCTGGACACTGCTATAGGTGTTGGAAAATGGGAACAGGACAAACATATGAAGAAACTGACGATCATTTCTAAAGCTGTTAGGCACACTTATAGGATACTTCACACTCAGCTCCAAAATGCTCCCAGAAGTCTTTTGACAGATGTCAAAATGACTATTCTTCATATAAAGTTTACACAAAATGAAATGATGCATCATGTTGACATTACAAACCACCAAGTAGGAAAGAGTGCTTCTGAGAAACTGCTGAACTAAATAAGGAAGCCCAACCGCACACCCGCTGGAGGTCCAGGCTGTCTCACACAAACACATAAACCAAAGTCATGTTTCTCTCTTAACCTTTGGCATGAGAGCATGATTTCCCATGTGCTCCGTCTTCCATAAACCTTCACCACCCCGTCTAAAGTATACCTCTTGAGAAATACAATCAAGCTGTATCATTTACATACAGCTTGCCCAAGCAATGACACCACTGTTTGTTTTCATCTAATGACTTCATAAGCTGAGGAGCAGTCTGGGTCACATCACTCATTAAAAATGTTAATTTTTCATGATGCACCTTCCTTGTTTCATTGCAGATATTAAAGTTTGTTTCCCAAGAGAATGTGGAAATCAGGAAAATTGGAGCAATTTTTCTATGCAATTTTTCCAAGAGAAAGAAAAATACCTCTGGTGAGCAGCAGCCTCTAAAGGCACAAACTACTGAAGGCGCATAGATAAATTACCACTATGTTTGGTTTAAATGAACGTCTGTGGAATCCTGCTTAGATGTACACAATGTAATAAACACAGGATAACTATTTTAGAACGAAAAAAGAAACCATGCCTCTCTCAGTCTAAGATAGGATCACTTTATTTATCTGAATAGCCCAAAACTGGGTGTAAAGAAGGCAGGCTATTGGCCAAAGAACCAAGGGAAAGATGAAAAAAAAGCTGGCTGGCTTTACAAACAGAACTCTTGAGATCATCCCTCAAAACGCTCCTTTTGTTGCCTTTTTTAAAAAAAATACACATTTCAAAGAATAATACAAGTCTGTTTGGGAACTATGATTCAGACTATGGAGCTGTCTGGTTCCCAAGATCACAACAGATGAGTGAGGGGGTCTCACTGCAAAAACCACACAAACAGCATCACCAGCATCACTGCCTCTACCCTCCTAAAAAATCAAGAAAAGACAGAGTGTCAAAAAGAGACCAGCAGGGCCATTCGGTGCAGGACAAAGAGCCCTACATCCCCAAACGGATCCTAGCCTGTCACTTTATTACACTAGAGACACATTCAGTTCTGTATAATGTTTTAAAGAATTGGGAAAACTGTGATAACTTTTTGTCAACTGGCTATTACAAAATTGGCCCCCAAAACGTTGGCACCCCAAAGGACAAGCAAGCCGTTAGCAATCAGGGCATTTATTCTAGAAGTAAAACAAGCTATCCAGAGGTTCTGAGTACCCGGGAGTTCCCCGCTCTGAGCCCCTTCCATTCTGCGCTTGGGCAGCCAACTGAAATGGGCATCTGCATGAATTTCAGGCAGATACAATGACACACTGTCAAACTGTGCTGGACACAGTTTTAGGATGATGATTTTGCTTCTTACACTATGCAGGTTCATCCTACAATAAATTAATATGAACTTCAGGGTGAGCAGTATTTGAAAAAGACATTAGCTTTGTGTCAAACCATGTTTCATTAATGACACTCACCTGTCCTGTATGACAGAGAAGGCAGCCTTATGACTCACTCTTCAACTCCAAGTTCTATCGAGTGCCTGCTCCCCAAGCTCTCCCAGCCCTTCGTGACAAAAATGAAGTCTCCCAGAGGACTAGTTAGGTGGCTGCCAACTCCCGACCCTCACGACAGCACAGGAGCGGAATGAACACTAGCTGTGGAGCCAGGGTCAGGTCCCCACTAAGTGCATGAACACAGGCCCAGGCGGCCCTGGAGGGGACAACAGATCTGATTCATGCTTTCTGAATGGCACATCTCCGCCTTCTACCAGGGATTAAAATCGATTCCGTCCACCATGACCAGCGTTTGGTAGAGGTTGGAGGTGGAAGAGAATGTATCAGAAAGGAACCGAGAGCACCTCATGCAGCGTCATTCTGTGTTCTATCATGGAACTTTTGATTATACTTTCTATGTGTCTATATATACACTGGGTTCCAACATAGAATGCGTTCCTTACAGGGCACTGACCTGGCCATAAAAGGTTATACAAAGGATTGAATATTTGTGTACCCCCAAAATTCATGTTGAAATCCTAAACCCCAATGTGATAGTACTAGGAGCCAGGGCCTCTATGATTAGGTAACCCAAAAAGCTATGTGAAAAGATTAAAGGCAAGCATTTAGGTCCACTTATATTAACCAGGTTCCATAGGATGCTACAAGCCTGTCTCTTATTCCATCCTAAGCATTTGTAGATCATCAAACAGACTGCTTCAACGCCCAGCTCACTCCTTCCTCAACAAGTTCTTTATTAAATAACTGGGTTATATAATTCTTTAGATTGCATGTATTTTTTGATGGGGAAGGTCAGGCAAAAAAAATCTTATAAAAAATTTTAAAAATTAAAAAAAACATTTATTTTGAAGCTCAGAATTACAGACAGAGAGAGAGGGAGTGAGGGAGAGAAACAGAGAGATCTTCCATCTGTTCACTTCCCAGATGGCTGCAATGATCAGTACTGCGCCAGGCAGAAGCCAAGAGCCAGGAACTTCCTCCAGGTCTCCCATGTGGATGGCAGGAAACCAAACACCTGGGCCTTCTGCTGCTGCTTTCTCGGGCCATTAGCAGGGAGCTAGATCAGAAACAGAGCAGCCGAGACATATGGGATGCCGGTGTTGCAGGCGGCGGCTTCACTCACTAGGCCACAGCAACAGCATCCAGGACAACATTTTTAAGTCAGGTTGTACAGTATGGAATCCTCTTGAAGCAGAAACTGCAAAATTCTCCACAGACGTACAAAGCAAGTCAGAAGCAACTGACTGTACCCTCGAAGACAAGAACATTTTTAGGACAACTTCCCCCTGAACTGCATCCCCTTTTCTCTAAATAGCAATCATTCCTATCCCCTCACATTTCTTGTTATACCTTCCTTCCTTTTGCTTCTATTTTTTTTAAAGATTGTATTTATCGGAAAGGGTGGGGGTGATCAATCTTCCATCTGCTGGTTTACTCCCCAACTGGCCACAATGGCCAGGGCTAGGCTTGACTGAAGCCAGGAGCCAGGTGCTTTATCCAGTTCTCCCACGTGGGTGCAGGGGCCCAAGCAATTGGTCATCCTTTGCTGCTTTCCCAGGCACATTAGCAGTGTGCTGGATCAGACACGGAGCAGCTGGGACTCAAACCGGTGCCCAAACTGGATGCCAATGCTACAGACGGTAGCTTTACCCACTCTGCCACAGCACCAACCTCTCTTTTACTTTTGTAGTCTTAAATCTTTAGATGAATAATTCACAAATAGGGTTCAAAATTCAGAAGGACAAAAAGGTATTGACAGAAACTGTTCCTTCTATCCTAGCCCCCAAAAGCCAGACAGTTCATTCATCCCACCCCCACTGCATGGGCAAATAGCTTGGGGGTCCTTGCAGGAACATTGTCTCTGATGACCCAGGCTGACTTTCCTGGGGATAATACCTGCAGCTGCCATTATAGGAACACTGAGAGCCACAGCTGTGGGATTAGGCATTCACAAAGACAGTAAAACAAAGTCCACAGGCACGAGGAGCGATGTGAGGCGGTTCACTCATAATCTCTAGGCACTTCCTCTCTTCACTCAAAATTTACAAAAAGGATTTGGTAAAAGGTGAATGGCCTGACATTCACCAACTTCGTTATTCAAGAAAACCCCTGCGTGCTGATGTCTTGCTGACGGACGGGGTTGCAAGCAGAAAGCTGCTCGCTGAGTGAACTCTGCCTCCCGCTGCTGAGGGTCTGCTGGGGAGACAGAGGAGACAGGTCATCCTGAAGGACCTTGCCCAAGAGTGGGCTGCCGGCCCTGTCCTGGACAGGCGTAGGTGGAGAAGGCCCCCTTCCACAAGGAACTTCAGAGTTGACCTCAGCATGCCCAGCCAACGTGAAGAGCACCCCACAGGGAGCCATAGGTGGGCTGAAGCGTCAGGAGCTGGCAGGTGCTCGGCACAGGGAGGCGGCTGCACAGTGGTTAGTGAGGACAGCGTGGTGGTCCTGAGAGTGCAGCGGCAGGAAGACCCTGGAATCACGTCAATGGTCTGGGTCTGTATGCAGGTCAAATGAGAAGATGAGATGGATCCAGCCGTGCCCCTCCCCTTAGAGTTTGGAAGATTTCCTCCACCTACTTCATAGTTTCCTACTACGAGCAAGTGCACAAAGAAAGGATTTCAAGCTATGCTTCTTTATTGATTCTACCAGTTGTGCAAAGAAATACCACCTTCTCCCCAAAGCTGCCAGGATAAGCCACAGCCAAGGGGCAGAGACAAACATCCTTTGGGGAAAGGTCAGATTTTATGCCTAGCCTGTAAATGCAGCATGTCTCCGCCACAGGTGACCACAAATGTGACACTGGGAGGGCAATCAAACCCAGTACATAAACAACTATGATTGGTGGCAGAGGTCTCTGGTTCCTGGTTAGAATTATGAAGTACAACTCAGAGATTCCCAGGACACTCTGTCTGGTTTTGGGGGTATGGATGGTCAAGTCCCTGGGGCCCCACTCAAGTTTTTCTCCTGTGCCTCTAAGAGCAGCTGATCGTAGTTAGGAATACAGACCTGCCTGCACGCCAGGAGAGCCAAGTGGCAGAGCTACTGGGAGGAACAAACCCTCAGAGGCTGTGCAAGAGTTCTCCCCAATCTGGAGAACCCGAGGGGCCAGAATCTGTATGCTTCCGTGAAGGCTTGGCCAGGAACTGGAAGAGACCCAGCCAGCAGAGTTTTGGGTCCCCTCCAGTCATGCCACGCTCTGGTTGCAATACTGCTGATGGATTAAAGGAGGGTCAGAGTGGATGCAGGAGACCAAGGAGGCTCTGGCTAACGTCCAGCAGACAGATCAAAGGCTGGACTACGATGAAATCCACAGACACGATGAGAATTAGGTGGAGCAGACATTCAGGAGGTAGAAAGTGGATCACATGCAGTGGGTGAAAAGAACAAAGCGGCCGGCGCCGCAGCTCACTAGGCTAATCCTCTGCCTGTGGCGCCAGCACCCCAGGTTCTAGTCCCGGTCGGGGGGTGCCAGTTCTGTCCGGTTGCTCCTCTTCCAGTCCAGCTCTCTGCCATGGCCCGGGAGTGCAGTGGAGGATGGCCCAAGTGCTTGGGCCCTGCACCCACATGGGAGACCAGGAGAAGCACCTGGCTCCTGGCTTCAGATCGGCGCAGCACACTGGCCGTGGAGGCCATTTGGGGGGTGAACCAACAGAAGGAAGACCTTTCTCTCTGTCTCTCTCTCTAACTCTGCCTGTTTAAAAAAAAGAAAGAAAGAAAAGAACAGAGCTACCTGGTGGCTAGTGGTGTGCACCAGAGAGCTGGGAACCCTGCAAGGGTACCAAGCATGCAGAGAAGAACGATCACGATTCTGGTCTCGGGCATGCAAAATCTGGGATATCCAAGCACAAGGCTGAGGCGGGAGATAAAAATGAGATTCACCTACGACTGTCCTTTTAAAGGCTCTTGTCGCAAAACATGAAATGGAGAAAAAGAGTGCGGCATTTAAAATCAGAAAAGCCAGGGCTAGAACCTTAGCCCCCACCTGTTACTGCCTCTGTGCTCAGGAGCAAGTTCCACCAAGGGACCAGGTGTCCACTCTCTTCCCTACCAGTGAGGATGCTGCCAACCACTCTGCAGCACACTGTGAAGATGAGAAGAAACAGCACTTGAGAAGTGCGCAAAACACAGGAAGTTCCCAGCAAAGTCAGCCTCCCTGACAGCAGGACCATGCTCGCGCTTTTCAGCATACCTCTTAACTGCTAGCACCGTCTGGGCCAACGGGTCCAGGAAGAGCTAGTGCACCAACCTGACTTGATTCTGAGTACTGTGAGGAAACCACTGTTTTCTCTCCCTCAACAACCACTAGCTCCTGCAGCACCTCCTCCATCTGACGGCCTGTTGAAGCGAATCCCAAACCCAAGTCATACACAGAGCAGGTGTCAGCCACATCCTGTGACGTATCTCTCAGTCCCGGGAGTATCCATCACATGGCAGGATCAGGGACTCTCACAGCTTTCCTATCTATTATCTAAAGCTCTAATACTCAGTCTAGAATTTGTTTTCTCATGATCTACACAGTTCTAAGAAAAGTCAAGACTAGCAGACAATTTCTCATTTCTTGCCCTCCTAATTCTGATGGAGCAGACAGAGGGAGCACACACTCCCTGCACACGTGAACACTCATCTGGGAATTTGGAACACTTCAGGCAGCTTATACTTCAATCAAGAGATTTCACATTTACTGTCTGTGTCGAATGCATCAGAGTCCCAGAGGTCTGCTGGCAATGACTGCTAAAGCCCATCTGAGAGTTGTCCATGTGGTGGCTGGAGTAGAGTATGAGAATCTGCATTTCTAGTAAGTTCCCAGGTGATGCTGACACTGCTGGCCCAAGAACCACACTCTAAGAACCACAGCCTGTGTCCCTCAGTGGTACTACAGTACTAATATATTTGATGTTGGAAGAAAACACAAGTTGAGAATGATGTGAGCAGTCACAGGATTTCTGCCTTGTATATTACCACCAAGGCATCTTCCACAGCCCCCTCCCCATTTTCTTGAAAGGAAAGAGAGAGAGAGAGAGAGAGAGAGAGAGAGAGAGAGATCTTCCAGACTCTGGTTCATTCCCCAAACAGCTGCAACAGCCAGGGCTGGGCCGGGCCACAGTCAGGAACCCAGAAGCCCATCTGGGTCTTCCACATGGGAGGCAGGGACCCAAGCACTACAGCCATCATCTGCTGCCTATAAGGATGCATTAACAGGAAGCTGGATCAGCAGCAGCATATGCAGGACACAACTGGTACTACCCAAGTGTCTTTTTTTTTTTTTTTTTTTTTTTTGGCAGAGTTAGTGAGAAAGAGAGAAAGGTCTTCCTTTTGTTGGTTCACTCCCCTAATGGCCGCTATGGCCGGTGCTGCGCCGATCCGAAGCCAGGAGCCAGGTGCTTCCTCCTGGGCTCCCACGTGGGTGTGGGCACCCAAGCACTTGGGCCATCCTCCACTGCACTCCCAGGCCACAGCAGAGAGCTGGACTGGAAGAGGAACAACCAGGACAGAATCCGGCACCCCAACCGGGACTAGAACCCGGGGCCCATATGGGATGCCAGCGCCGCAGGAGGAAGATTAACCAAGTGAGCCATGGCACCGCCCTACCCAAATGTCTTAACTAGGAATTATACATGTTTATTATCTGAGTACTTTTAGAGCCTATTTTAACAGCTCAGGAATAATTTGTTTCATGCTTGATAATTTCCACCTATTGGTTTTCTACAATTCATTTTTGAGTACACGAAAGGAATCACTATTGAAATAGAAGCAGTGCTTCATTCATAATCATGTCAGAATTATTTCCCTTCAACAAGCCTTCCTCCTCCTGGACAGCTGGTGTCATTCTAATGGAGGGGCCAGAGCTAATGCTGAAGAGCTGTCTTCACAGCTTAACCACCTGAGCTTGAGTGGACTGACTGGTACCCACTTCACCTCAGCAAGATGGAAGGAACCAAGGCATTTAAACAGTCACTAAGCACCTGCCGTGTACCAAACACCAAAAATGCTGTGTTAAAGGACAGTGACCTCTGCCCCTAAGGAGCTTATAATCTTTGGTTGAGTATAAGTTTGAACATAGATAACAGAAAAACAAATGAAATATTAAATCTGGAAGTATCCATTGTAAAACGTGAAACAAATTTATGGAGCAAAGTTCTGGTTGATGATCAGAGAAGGCCTCAGGGAGGTGATATTCAGGCTGATTAACTTAAAGAGCTTCAAAGTCCATTCTTTTTCTAGGCTCCCTGAGCCAAACTCATGTGAAGTTACTCTGGGTGCTTTAAAAATACATTTCCCAAGGGCCAGTGTTGTGGTGAAGCAGGTTAAGCCATAGCCTGTGACACCTGCATCCCATACCAGTGCCGGTTAGAGTCCTGGCAGCTCCACTTCCAATCCAGCTCCCTGGGAAATCCTGTGCCTGGGAAAGCAGCAGCAGATGGCCCAAGTGCTTGAGCCCCTGCACACACATAGGAGATCCAGAAGGAGTTCCAGGTTCCTGGCTTCAGCCTGGCTCTGCCCAAGTCATTGTGGCCCTTTGGGACAGGCGCTGTAACATAGTAGGTTAAGCCTCTGACTGTGGTGCCAACATCCCATACAGGCACCAGTTCGAGTCCTGGCTGCTCTATTTCCCATCTAGCTCCCTGATAGTAGCCTGGAAAAGCAGCAGAAGATGGCCCAAGTGCTTGGGCCCCTGTAACCCATGTGGGAGAACCAGAAGCAGCTCCTGGCCCCTGGCTTTGGCTCAGCCCAGTTCTGGCTGTTGGTGACCAGTTCTGGGGTGAACCAGCAGGTGGAAGACCTCTCTCTCCCTCTCTAATTCTTCCTTTCAAATCAATCAATCAATCAATCATATATATATACACACACACATATATGTATATATATATCAAGTACTTTTAAAGAAAACTAGAATTTATTTCATATTTAGAATATTCTTCCTGCCAAAGAAGAAAAATAAGTAAAAATTATTCCTAGGTACATTGGTTAAAAAAAGTTTGGAGTCTTGTGAACACTATTCATGACCAAAAAACAGACCACTATAAATTATTGAAACAACTGCCTACCGACCTACCTGATGTCTCTGAAATGGTTCAGAAAACAAATACCATCATAAAAATTATAGAACATCCCAAGATTTTGCAGAACAAAATTAATTTGGATACATAAATTGCTCAGCACACATTTATTGAAATTCACCATTTGCCAGACACAGGGCTATGTTCCAAGAAAAGAAATATAAATAAAGCTGGCTGCCTAACCTTTCCCAGACACAAACACTGGTTAAGCATCTATGATGAGCTTGCCACTCCCTCAAGAAGGTCAGAATATTTGCTAATCACTGCTGGTTTTGTTTCCTTTATTACCAAATGATCATGCTGGAGGACAAAGTTGTTTTTTTTTTTAAAGATGTATATTAAGTGTGTGCAACCTGTGGAATCCATCATCTTTCTTGTGCCCATCTGCCTCTGAAGCAAAGAAACACATTTTTATAGCTACCTATACCTTGACCCTCCTCCTCAAACACCTTACTCAGCATTACTCGCTGCTAAAGGCTTAAACATCACCTTTGTTCTCACAAAATGGATAAACTTTCCACAGTCCTGTCTCTGAACTCTGCTTCCAATTCAAAGTAATTATAACTCCTAGGCTCCCTGTATTTGCAACTCCAGCCCTGCCTGGGCTCCCACACACGCCCCCATTCTTAAAGTGGCAGCAACACTAACCATGCAGTACTTTCTATTTTATTGCACTTTCATAACTGAGTTTCCAAAAATACCAAAGAAAATCAGTCTCAAAACTCACTGTTCACCCATTATATAAACTCCCCATGGTATACTGCACACCATTGTTTATTCAGCCTCTTAGACAATACAGAAGACTTGCTGCAAGAACACACACTTTATGTGGTTGTTCATTCAAGTGTGGGCTTGTTTCAACTTCAAATGACAATACCAGGGCACTGTCAGCTGACTGCACAGGCAACCATGTCCCCGTGACAATGTTTCCAATCTTCCCAAGAGCGAGCCAATATTAGGAAGCCCCCTGTGATTTTCTGTGCTAGCATCTCCTCCGTACCACTCTGATGAAGCTGCACACAAGTACCTGTACTTAGGCCTAGAACATACAAAATCAAGGCTGTTTTCCACAGCCTCATCTTTCCTATAAGGATCCCACTGAATAACGCTCATTGCCAAAGGCAGCCAACTGTTTACGACATAGTGTCTCAAACATTTCATCCCAAAATGAGGTTTAAAGCTGATTTGCAAAGAGAAGCCAGAGCAAATGTAACAAAAGACTAGGTTTTTCCCTCCTTCTCCCATTTCCCTAGCATTTAGAAGAAGAAAGTTAACACATCTCACTCCGTAGATAAAACCACAAACGAATGGCTGAGCTACATGATGTACAGTCCTAACCGGGCAGCTTCTAAAAACATAATAAAGACTCCTTTCAACTGCAGTTAATGCACTCGATACAAAGAGAACATGATTTGGCAATAAATACATTTAGGGCTTGGTGTTCTACAGAGTAGCTCTAATGAAGACTCCAGCCAGAGAAAATGATTATTTTTCAGGATATTAAGTGTTCTGACTCACCATTTAACAGAAGTACAGCAAAAATGCAAATTAGATGTATACATATTTATGACTTTACCAGCTGTATGACAAGGCCACCTTTGGCTTCTGAATGTATTTACAAGGAAGAAAGGTTGTGAGAAGAAGCATACATTTTTGTTTCTATTCAAACTGTTCCCTCTCTCTTATCACTGGGTGGAGCAAAGCATTTATCTAAGTCAGAAGATGTATATAAGCCAAGAGAATGAGTGAACAAATGAAAACAAATATTTTCTCCTTAATGGTATTTGCTCAGATAAGAAAATTTTAAAATATAAACAATAAATTATGTTAAAATGAACTCTCAGCCGGCGCCGCGGCTCAATAGGCTAATTCTCCGCCTGCAGCGCCGGCACACCAGGTTCTAGTCCCAGTCAGGGCGCCGGATTCTGTCCCGGTTGCTCCTCTTCCAGTCCAGCTCTCTGCTGTGGCCAGGGAGTGCAGTGGAGGATGGCCCAAGTGCTTGGGCCCTGCACCTGCATGGGAGACCAGGAGAAGCACCTGGCTCCTGGCTTCAGATCAGCGCGGTGCACCGGCCGCAGCGGCCATTGGAGGGTGAACCAACTTAGGTAAAGGAAGAAAGACCTTTCTCTCTGTCTCCCTCTCTCACTGTCCACTCTGCCTGTCCAAAAAAACAAACAAACAAACAAACAAAAAACAACAAAAAAAAACAAAAACAAAAAAAACCTCTCAAATAACTATTAGGTTATTTCTAAAAGTAAAAAACGTGCCTTCACAAGTAAACTCCTACCACAAACTTGATTATCAATTCCCTAAGAATTCTACAGAGTCCTGGCCCTCCCACTAGCTCCCCAAGAGCATGGTCAACCTACCTCGCTAAGTTTCAGGCTTCTTACCCATAAAAGGTGTGTCTCTAAGTTAGTTAATATTTGAATTCTTTATCAGAAGGAAATATACCTCAATACCCAGTATAAAAGGCAGGATCTATTCATAGTGCATAAGATTCATCGTATTTTATCACCATCCTTCCGAACATAAAACTACTACTTTTCTGTATATAGGAAACAGAAGATGATTTTTTTTTTTGGACAGGCAGAGTGGACAGTGAGAGAGAGGGACAGAGAGAAAGGTCTTCCTTTTTCCATTGGTTCACCCCCCGCAATGGCCGCTGCGGCCAGCCGCACCGCGCTGATCCGAAGGCAGGAGCCAGGTGCTTCCTCCTGATCTCCCACGCGGGTGCAGGGCCCAAGCACTTGGGCCATCCTCCACTGCCTTCCCGGGCCACAGCAGAGAGCTGGACTGGAAGAGGAGCAACCGGGACTAGAACCCGGGGTGCCAGCGCCACAGGCGGAAGATTAGCCTAGTGAGCAGCGGCGCCGGCCGAGAAGATGATTCTTAAGGGGAACAGAAACTAGGCTGGTTTTGTTAATTAGGTTCCCTCTCTGAAACCACCAGCCAGGATTAGCATCTGCCAAAATTGACTCAAGACCCTATTTTAAAAGGAGTGGTTTCTCCCGTCTCAAGACATACAATTTCACAAAGTGGCACAAGTCAGTTTCGAGGAAGGCATCTTTTAGCCAGCAGCACATTACTAACAGCAATTAACAGGGAGGGAGTCACGTGCAGGAGTACCACACCAGTGACCTGAGTCTACAGCCTGTAGGAAGACAAACTCTCCTT